TGCGTATCCCATTGGCTGAGGCATATCAAGCGCTTTCTAACACTTCATTCTTTCGCGCACTTTTGCACGCGTTGTCGACGTCCAATGACGACGCGAGTGGGAGCGCTCTGCTCACCAAAGCGGCCTTTATCAATTAGCAACGTTAATGCGCGTGCGTAAAAAACTGGATGGTGGCCCTCGCCGCCCCATGGATCGCGTGCGGCCTGCATCATGTCGCCTCTGATTGGCCAAAAACAATTCGAGCGGACCAATCCAATCGTTTGAAAACGGCAATCTTGGTGCGCCTCTGAATTCCCACGAGGCGACCCTCCGACACTCGACAAATTGTGCTGAGACGTTCAATACGACGTGAATTTCACAACGATGGTACAATGCTGCTGGTCAAGCAGACATTTGGATCGTACTGCACTAGTAGCCGCACCACTTCATGCCCGGGTTTTGGCACATGGAGGCGGGCGCCGAGCCAAAGCAGACGACACCGCCACTCGGTGTCGGCAAATAGCAGCCGTTGCAAAAGCCCTCGGCCGAGCAGCCCGAGGATGCGCGTCCCGGAGGACACTTGCAGTCGGGCGAATTCTTTGGCGGTGGCGCCGTCGTCGGGGCCGGCGTCGGGGGTGGCGTAAAGATAAACGGCGGTAGTGTTGTCGTCGTTGGTGCCGGCGCCGCACCCTTGGGCGTCCACGTCCCGTAGCGGTTTTCGCAAAAGATGCTGCCGATGCTCGGGTTGTAGATCGTGCACACGGAGGACGCGGCGTCCCACGTGCCGGTGCAGGTCGCCGCCGAGACTTGGTCCATGACGTTGCTGCACGTGCCAGACTTGGAGATGTAGGTCGACGAGCTACCACCCATGATTGTTGACGGTGTTGTGTGCTCTGGGGCGAATTGGGATCTGAGCTAGCAGGTGCATGGACCGATATTGGAGCTAGACTACAAAACACGAAACCACAACGGCTGCGTGACCATAGTCAACGATACTATAAGCAATCTATCGAAGCTCAAGAACGACTGTGGTTGGCCACGAGCCGTTGCGTTGGAACATCACCAAGCGACGCGTCTCGTCGAGTCGACGCGAGGGCTGCACCAGCAATGTACACCAAGTCGTTTATTCGGGTGCATTTACGGCAGGTGCTGCATGTACTTGACTTCTTCTTTGTGCAAGTTCTTTTGGTGTGCTCCTCCACTGACGTCGTTTACCGATTTGTCGCTGGGTAAAATGCTGCTTATTTACCCATACTCAACAGCTTCACGACGACCAAATGTGTGTGTGACAGCAAGCGACGGGAGAGTCGCTCGCTGGCGGCGCATGTCTCGGCGACTGCGTGACTGGAATCGATCACGCCAAT